TTTTTTTTATTTAAGTTACTCGCCTCATTGGGTCATCAATAATGTGCGAGCATTTTAACGCTAAGAAGGAACAAATCGACCAATTCGGCCAATTTGAACTCTACCAAAATTATGCACCTGCAAGCTGTACCATCTTAAACAAATCCGCATTCTACACATATTTCAATTTTAATAACACCAAATGCTAGATATTATTAAATGAGCGTTATTGACAAATTGCCAAATTATAGACGCATTTCAGTCTAATTCCTGCTGGCTCACTTATTATAAAACATTTTATTCATTGAGCGGACGCAGCAAACTTTGTGATTTGGAATCGCCTGTGTTGGTAAAAGACCAGTAAGATAAATTAATATTAACACTGATAATGATGGCGAAGCAATTTCAAAATTTGGACTTTTTTCAGCCGCCGAAAGAGGAAAGCTGAATTGAAACGCCTAAACCGATCCCCCGTGGACAAAAATGATAGCCTACTGACTACGAGACATCGTGGCCGAGCATTTGTAGTAATCCGAAGGTACGAAGGGTGAGACAGCCATTTACTGCTCATTGTCCAGCACAAGTCCATAAAATCAATCGATAGAAGAAGATTCTTTGATGCCTTGATGTTGTTATCTGCACCTTTTAGGTATCCTTTCCTTCATCATTTATTTTCCAATGTCATGCGCTTATCACAGGCAAAATTTATAACTTTTTTCGGTGGTCAACTCTGCAATTTAATTTAAAAAGAAAACAATCGGAATACTTCCTCCCAATTGGATGTTGTTACCTTTCTGTGGATATGCAAGTAAAAATAAAATAATTTAGAGAGTTCACGTATGAACAAGAAAATGTGCAAGGTCGGTGCTGCAAATTTAAGGCCATTAACCCGTGGTTTTGCCATGGCAAGAACCTAGATAAGGCTACTAACTTTAAGGACAAGGGGGTTGGAAAAATGCGCACTCAAGAGAAGTCGGCAAAAATTTGCGTGACGTTCCTACTTAGATGGCTCCTATTTTTTGGCTAATTATTGCTGGAAAAAATTGTGAAATAAGGAGAAACTTAATGAGGCATCAATTCTCTCTGTGTGTACGTGCATGTGTGTCAATGGGGGGGGGGGTGTGTGGGGGCAATTGAAATGAAAATATTTCGTTCGACAAATTCATATCTACTTGTACAAACTGGGCTTGAAGTGTCAATTATGAGTCAGCGTCTCCAGAACGTAAAACACTTTTAACCAGTAAATTGATGAGAGAGAGAGAGAGAAAGGTTTGAATGCAGCTCCAACTATGGGCAAGAGGGGGGCATAGTTAGTGAGAAAACAATTGAAAAAATACATTCCTAGAGGAAGGGGGGCCTTCCAGCTTATAATTACAGTACATAATCGAGTTTAGAAATACCAAAAGAGCCGAAGAAAGCTCGTTTATGCCATTAAAAGAGCCCTTTATCCCAAGTGTCGATTACCCACTACGATAGATTCGGATCGTCTTATTCACCCAGATTTAGGTGTTTCAATTCTTCACTCAAAGAATTGCATCTTTGTCAAGCCAGCAATCAAAAACTATGAGAAATTATTAATGGCAGGTATTACAGACAACTGGCAAAGAAAATAAATAATTAATGCATTTTTGCAATTATCAATAGATGGTAGAAAGTCGAAAACCGGAGTCCACAAATGAAAGGTTTCAGCTTCGTCTCGGGATTGCTAGTACCAGAGACGGTCCTGAATACGACCAAAACCCTCATCAAAGCTTGAGCACATACTGCTCCTAGCAACTCAGAAGTTAATGAGGACAGGAAAATCGGTATTGGCCAATATAAGTGATTTGACAAACGACTCACGTCCGTATGCAGTCGCTGTTTGAGTAAAAATAGTCCCATCGTAGCTACGCTACCGTTTTATCTCATCTTCTAGAACTGGTTCAATTGTATTTTGGAATTAAAGATTATAATAGGGTTAGATGTTAAACTTTATAATATTAAGCGAAGAGTTTTTGTAATGCAAAACGAAGTCCTTTTTAGATTCATTTGAATAATATTGCAAATAAAACAATGCACGCTTAGAAATTACAACGTGCACTTTTATTGGTAATTAATTCACCGAAGTGTGCAACATCACTACATATTAAATAACAATACAATTGGATAATCACTCCACTATAAGTTGTAGAAGATCCTAATTGGAGCAAATGACCACTTGTTATGGAAGATTAATGCATTTCAGCAAAAAATGTCTGAGAAGACTATTTAGACATTGGCATATGATAGGTGTCTTCCAAATACGCCCTGATTTGTCAAACTATTCCAAAAGTTGCCCTCACATCCTACCTGTCGGGAGAAAAAGCAATGCAAGGAAAAGATAATCCTTTCATCTAAAATCGAGGAAAACTGTTAAACAGAGAATACATCCTGCCCCAAGGGAATACTCCCAAAACATCAGAGGTAAAATGTTCTCACAATAACATACGCGCCTCTTTGAGACATGAGTTTAAATGACTCGGGGGTAAAATTCACCTTTAATGGCAACAACATTTCCCCATTAAATTCAAATAATATTTTAAATTATCAATCATCTTTATGTCCTGAAGAAGATAAAACAAGGCAACAGTGGGAGAGGAAAAAATATAAGCTAAACGCTTTCTTGATATTTAATGCAACTGAATGCATATGCTCTAATTAATCAGGACTTAGAGTACAACTTCAGCTAAGAACATGGAGGAGATTTCTGGCTTAGAAATTTAGAAAGTAAAATATACTTTTTTTTTGTTTAATCAAAGAGGAAATGAAAAATGAATGGGAGAAAAGGCGGGCTTTGTTGATCGGATGAATTGTCATGATTCGACCAGAGAAATCAAGGGTTTTGATAGTAGAAAACTAGGTCGTGCAGACGTTGCGTTCACATTGGAGGATTAGCACTTTAATTGGTATTAATCAAATTGAAATTTAAGCCTACTTAAACGGGTATAAATGGATTAAGGTTATTGGATTGGAAGGCACTTTTATCAGCCTTAGTTAAAAGCACACAAGTTTGCCTTGCACTTGTGCCATTTCCTGCTTCATATCTATTAAAATGCTTCTTTGAAGTGAAATTTTTTTCAGATCAATCCCAACTCTTCCTCAAATATATACCATTCACTTTTAATCTCATAGAATTTCAGCCAAATACATTCATATTTTTCCTCCTAGGGCAATTATTGGTTCCGTTTGTTTTGACGTCAACATCAAATAATAATAACATCATCTATGACAATTTACATTCACAATTTCGGATATGTACTTCAACAGGTATTAATAGTTGAATTTGAACTAAAAAGCTATCCTATGTAGAATTTCACCGAGAAAGAAAGCGTAGAATGAGCATCAAGTGTTGAGAATTTTAATTTGTTGAATAACTCTTGTTCCTTTCCCTGTTGACACTTAAGCTGTCAGGCTGCTTGCATCAGTTGAAATCGCCTGTGTCCTACCAATCAAACACTTAACTTTCGAGCTAATTTCTTTTTGTCACAATTTAAATTGTTTTAAACTCTCGCATAATAGAATCTCAGGGTGTGCATCTTAACCTTTTTGACAGTGAACATTTATTCAAGTACATTAAAAGATTTAGTTCTACAATATATATATATATATATATATATATATATAATTGTTTTGATTTACCAGCCTTAATGCAATTTCGAATCGAATTGCATTTTTTTATCACACTGTTCACTCCAATTTTGAGAAAAAAAATATATAGCCTCATTAAAGCTTAGGCCAAACGGTTAATCAAAGCCATTGAAATTAGTGACACAAAAACGATGCAATTTCAAGCGCACGGTCGGTAAGAGAGGCATAGAAAGAAACACATAAACATGGAAATTAAGTAATGCTGTTAACCAGTTAACCCGGAGAGACAGGAATTTAGGAGTCACTATTCGCGAATTTCGCCAACATGACTCTACTTGCTTGTTCAGCCAATACGAGCGAAAGTGTGTACTCACATTGAATAAACCCAACTCACTAAGCTGGGCAAACCTTCAACTTCAATCTATTTTGTCACTGCTATACTAGCACAGTAAGATGTTGAAGATCAACTGGGAACATTGACTTCACAGTCATTGGAAATGAAGCGACAGGACATACTCTTCTTGGTTTGAAAAAAACCGATCAATGACCAATGAACATTGTAGACAGTCATTGACTGGAAATTTAAGGACGAGTCATGAAATTTATCAAGGCAAATTCATATTCAATTAGCATTGTTCAAAGAGCAAGAAATCAAATGAAGCTAGACTCATTATAACTTTGGGTTTGCCCTTCTGCGTCGTTTTGATGCCATAATTATTGTTGGACTCACTGTTATTTAATGTCAATTGCTTCCCACGATTAAAAATCGCACAATAAATTTTTGCATTATTGTGAGCAATAATAATAAACACATTCCAAGGCGGAAAAATTTCAATATTTCCTGACATGGACAATAAAAATTAAATCGTTACATACGTGTGACAATTAAAACAACTACAGCAAGAAGAAAACATGTGTTAGTATCAATGCTGCGAAAAGTAGCTGACACTAGTCAATAACTCTGTAACTGTGGAAACAGGCTCTGAGCAATCATCTGATCTGTAAACTAGACACGATTCGGAGTTATGAGTTATTGTATCACCAAACAAATAGAACCCTTTCGTTAAGGGAGAAATTCGAGTCATTTACTTTGAAAACCAATCCTCAAGTGAGAGATTAACAATTTTAAAATTTCAACAATTTACTGCAAGTGACATTAAAAATAACTTGCATATTTCATATTTCACTCTTCATACTTCGGCAAGGGTGATAGACATTAAAATATACACTTCGTGTCTCAAAAACTAATATTGCCACATAGCTGCTCTGGTTAGTAAACCCATTCAGGTGACAAGCATTCCATTATATTGCTATGATAGTATTTCAAAAATGTATCCTTCTTCATTAAAACTCAACCAAAATGCCACTCTAGACCAATTATGAATACCGGTTTCAAAATTTGTAGAATATCTATCTTACGCATTCATATCCCAACAGTTGTTCTCTGCATCAAAGTATCCCCAAGACATGGCCATTTGAGGAGACATTACGGGTCGTTTCAGGGAGGCAAGCCCGGCAACGAGAAAGTCGGCAATAGTCCCGGCACATGTCCAAGGCGCGTGCTGAATTGGGCGATTAAGATGAGGTAGAGTGCTTTGTGAGATAGAACGACATATCGATTGTGCGGAGACCCCATTGACTACGTCATTTGAATCAGGCATTGATGGACGCTGACTTGATCCAACGGATATCTTTCTCAAAACTGATACTTTGTCGAAGACTTCCAACTCCTGCTCTACTGTCATTGGAGTCGTTGAAAATTCATCAGGTTGATTTTTGAAATGCCAGAGAATTGTGGCACATCCAAAGCCTAATGATTAAAATTAATTAGAAATATAATAGATAAGTTACTATATAACAATTGATATGACCACTAAAAATTTGGTTAGGGAATTTATATAGAAATTAAATTAATTATCATCAGCAGCTCGAATATAACGAAAATAGTCTACCTGCAAACGGCTTCTGACTTCTGCTGGGATTGGGCAGGGAATCAAGAAATTTTTGGTTGCATCTACGATCCATCCAAGTAATGAGTTTTCCACAGCCACCACCGCTAACATTGACATCAAGTTTCTTTTTCGTGATTCTGGATTTCTCAATGAAGGCTAGATTATTTCCCAACCACCCAACAACACCATGCATTTGCCCGGAAACGGTGATTACAGTAACACGCGACATTAAACTTTGGGAGACTGAGGAGAGAATTAGATGCAAACAAAGAAAGATTTTCCCAACGTCTTGAGTATGTTCGTTGGCAAGACAAAATAACCCGAAATTGCTCATGCTGTGTCCAGAAATAATTCCAATATCACGAGATAAGCTTGCTTCGACTCTGGGATTTGGACCACAAGTCACAAGCGCAACTTTAATGCTCGTAGTACCAAGATCGATCCCCAAAATTAGAGGAGCATTTGTTCCCATTCTTAGGAATTTTTAAAATGATATTATTAAGTAAAAAAATAAATGCAGTGGTTATAGTAATATTTCGCAGACACAAAAATAATCTCAGAAGGAAATGAATTTTAACAGATTTGTCTAAGTCGGTTGTATGAGCAGTGTTATGCTAACCCAAACGAAGAAACAGAAAGTGATCACCACATATAATTAAATTGAAGTACCTTCCGAAGCCAGTCAAGGTCGTTACAAAGGTCAGTATAAATATAAACTACAAAAATATTTTAGCGGATTAAATAAAATTAAAGTAAAAATTTATGGCTATAAAGAGTAAAATATTTTATTCAAATATTTTCGATTCTTTTGTTTTGTTTTTGTTTTGAATTTGTCTTCTTTTTGCGATTTGGATGCTTTATTACATTTTGAGCGAAGTTATTTGCCCGGTAAAAAATTCCTCAATCTTTATCTCACACATTTCAATAGAGATTTAATTATTCAACAAATATTTGCACATACTGATCTCTCATTCATGTCTTTTCTACGACGGTCTAATTATAAGTAGTCAAGCTATATTTTTAAGTTTGAACTTGATTTTATCGTTCTTAGAAATGCGACCTTGATGACCACTTTAAAAAAGTTTCTGAAAATATAAGATTATTTAACGAGTAGCATTGCATATGACCAAGGCATTTTTTATTATATTCTTTTGCTCCGTCTTTACAAATGTAAAATATTGCCTTAGGATATAAAGATTATTATTTATATTAACTTTAATTTGTTCAAAATTTCCAGTTAATTATCGAGCCTCTTTGACCAAAGTACGTGAGTTATATACATATAGTCAGAATCAAGTTTTGCTTTGTAACAAATAAATAATCTATTGTTATATGTATGACAGTAGGATCTTCAATTTATATTCCATTGAATATAGGTACTATTTGTATTGAAATAGAATGGGTTTGTGTCTTTTCAAATGAAAAATAAACAATATTACCTTGGATTCGACGGAATTTTAAATTTAATTCTAAACCCTTTTCATTTACGTTTTACAGTGCTATAACTAGGTAATGAAATCTCTAGGACACGTCATAGCTTTACACGTCATCGCATGCATGCACGCCAGGATTGGGAGGTGTGACCGTACAAACAGTTTAACCTAATCCGCCATCCTGATCATGATTAAGCTCCCTGCGTGATTGCAATTCACGTTCAGTATCTAGTGAATAAACGTATCGATGATACGTCTCTTCTTCTATAGATTCGGTAATTGGGAGTATCTATCATAAAGGTTTCTGAGACTTTACTAGCGTAGCAATCCGTTACAAATCCAAACCCTGTTTCTACTTATAGGGAGTCACAAAGTCAAATTCATGCATATTTTGAATATAATCTTTCGGTTATGCATCGGTGTCAGTAAAATTATTTGAAATCATATGAAGTATATTTGAAACATTTCAAATTCTTTTTTATCTTTCTGGGTTTATATTCCAACTTCCACTGACTTAAGAATAAATATTTGTAAGTCATTCCTTTAACATCATATCAGATGATTTTAAACGAATTTCTCGCGCATAAAAGTTACATTCCGGAAACTGGCACATAAGCAGATATACAAATTACTTGAGGTTATGCCTCTCTTCAAGGGTCGCGACGGCCGAGTGGTTAAGGCGATGGACTTGAAATCCATTGAGGTTTCCCCGCGTAGGTTCAAATCCTGCTCGCGACGTTGGTGTAATTTTGGGGTGTGCAATAGACTTAACTCCACGTGGTGCACCCTGGGCAACGTATACTCATACGGCAAAAAGTCTATAAACCGGCAGTTGACTCCACACTTTAAACTACCATCACCCCACTGTATGTCATATTCGTCCCCTGCCACAATACTCAGCTGACCTTTCCTCTACCTTTGTGTCTGT